CCCTAAGGTGGCCCACCTACGAGAAGGGCCACCTGCAAGGATCAGCAGGTGTCTTCCAGGAGCTATGGGACTCAGCCCTTTATGAGCAGGGAACTGGATTCTGTCCACTGCTTTGTGAACTGGTGAGGGGAGTCCGGGACGCTGTGGTTCTGGGGACACCGAGGCCCAAAGAGACCCTAGCAGTGGACCCTGGGCAGGGGTCCTGACCCACAGACTCCCTGAGGCCGCTAAGTCGGTGGGGATTCGTTGTGCAACACCAGTAACCGGCGCAGGTCCAGAGCCAGAATGGAGAACATGGTGGGGAGGTAAGGTTCCTATGATCAGGCCCCCAGCACATCAGGAGCAGTGCTCTGTCTGGGAGCTGCTCTGCCTGTCCCATCAGAGTGGGACAGCCCCAGTCAGAGTAGCTGCAGGGGGATGCTTCCATTGGGACGGGTTGACCTCCGACTCCCGGTCAACACGTTGGCCCTGAGGCAGACGTCGGCCTGTGTGAGCAGAGGATGCTGGGAATCCCTGCTCATCTGAGGAGCCCCGGGCTGGTGGGCAGGCCGGATGGGATTCGTGCAGCTTTGGGCCAGCAAGGCCAGCCACCCCGGCCAGGCTGGGGGCCACACCCTTGCCTGCCCACAGTCTCGACACCCAGTCCTCTCGTCTTACTGTGAATCCCGGGAGCCCACTGGGGCCAGGCAGTCCTTTCGCTCCGGGCCTCCCTGGGTCACCTGGCTCTCCTTTCTCCCCAGTTGGGCCGTCCAGACCCTACAGATTGACAGAGACTTCTGTGAGTGACGCCCCCTGAGGACTGCAGGGGGCCCCCTGGGAAGCAGCCTTGGCATGCTCCTGTGGCTCCCTCCCCCAGGGCGGGAGTGAGGCTGAAGGCCAGGGGAGGCCCCGCCAAGCTGGGCAGGGCCATGAAGGCTGTCTTGTGTGTGCCACCGCTCCTGGCACAGGGCTTCCAACTGCCTTCCCAAGGGGCTGTTTGACCCCCCTGACATTATCACTTCCCCAACAACCTGGTGGTCTATTTGGGAAGGCACTCTTTGCCGTATTTTAGAGTCGTGGAAGCAGGCTCCGCAGGGCTCCATGCCTTGCCCAAGGTCCCACAAGGGTGATGACAGACAGGGACTAGATCTCTCTTTGACGTCAGGGAAGTGGCCTTCATACAGTGAGTGGCTCAGGGCACCCTGGGGGAAACCTCACACTCAGGTTCTGCTCCAGTGGTGGTCCCGGCCCCATGCAGGGCTGCTCTGGGGAAGCGGCGGGAGGAGGGTGGAAGTGCGGCACATGCACTGAAGGGCGGAAACCAGGGGTCTGGCCTCCAGTCCCTCTGCTCACTCACCGG